AGAAATGCTCATGTTATTTTTGTTTTGTTTTGTTTTGGAGACAGAGTCTCACTTTGTCACCCTCAGAAGAGTGCTGTGGCATCACAGCTCACAGCAACCTCAAACTCTCAGGCACAAATAATTCCCTTGCTTCAGCCTCCCGAGTAGCTGGGACTATAGGGGCCCACCACTATGCCTGTAATTTTTCTATTTTTAGTAGAGACAGGGTCTCGCTTTTGCTCAGGCTGGTCTTGAACTCTTAAATTCAGGCTATCCACCTGCATTGGCCTCCCAGAGTGCAGGGATTATAGGAATGAGGCCTGCGCCCAGCCAGCTTATGTTAATTGTTCAGAAAAGATTATCGTTTATTCTTTGAACAAATATTTATTGCACACCTCTGTGTGCTATGTGCTGCACACTGCATCTGTGCACTCTGAGTGCTTTGCATGTATCTGTAAAGATCCCCCAGACCTGTATACCTCACCTTCTCGTGGGGGAGACAGGCAGTACACATTCTAGATAAATTATGTGGTGTTTTAGCTGATAAATGTTGTGGATTGTTAGAGGATTAGGAATGCTGGGTGTGTGGCTCGGTACCTGTGGCTCAAGTGGCTAAGGCACTAGCCACATACACCTAAGGTGGTTCGAATCCCCAGCCTTGGCCTGCCAAACAACAACAACAGCTGCAACCAAGAAATAGCTGGGTGTTGTGGCAGGGGCCTGTGGTCCCAGCTACTTGGGAGGCTGAGGCAGGAGACTCGCTTGAGCCCAGGAGTTGGAGGTTGCTGTGAGCTGTGATGTCATAGCACTGTACCCAGGGCGATAGCCTGAGGCTCTGTCTCAAAAAAAAAAAAAGGAATGCTAGGTGTGAAGGGAATAGGGCTGGTGATTCCTACTTTAAATTGGGTCATCAGATTTTTGTTCATCGAAAATGTGAAATTTGAGGAAAGGCTTAGGGTGGTTAGATGATTGAACATGTGGATACCAGGAGGAAGGGCAATCCAGTTACAGGCTACAGTGCAAAGGCCCCGATGCTTGAGAACGTCTGGCTGGCATGTTTGAAGAGCGGCCAGGAGACGAGCGTGGCGGGATACTGTTAGTGAAGGGGAGTGTGGCTAGGGACGAGGTCACAAAGGTGATGGGGGCCAGATCACGGAGGGACTTGTGATGCATCATAGGGTCTTTGCTTGTGCTCTGAGTAAAACGGGGAGTTAACGGCAGATTTTGAGCAAGAGTGACTTGATCTCACTTAAGTTTTTAAAAAGCTCCCTCCAGCTATGTGTTGAAATGGCCCTCAGGGTCAAAGGTGGAAGGAGGGAGGATTCCTGTAGGAGTCATTACAGAATCCAAGCATGTGGTGATGTAGTAGTGCTGGTGAGAAGTGGTCAGCTACTGGTGTATTGTTGTGTAGTTTAGAATACAAGATTTAAAAAATTCTCAGAGCTCAAGGCTTCCAAAATGCCCATGTGCTTCCAGTTTGAGGAAAATCTGAAGTGGCTGGTACATGTAACCATGGTTCCAAGTTCATTTCCTTCTGGGGGTGGTGTGGGTGGTGTGTACATGTGTGCATGTACATGCTGTCAGGAGAGGGGGCCGTATCTGCACGCTGGGGATTAGTCACACCCAGCAAGCAGCTCTCTGAGCTGGTGTGAGTTTAGAATAAGAAGTGTAGCAACACTACATGGAACTGTCTGGTCCTGAAAGCCTCACACGTCTTTGATTAAGCCAGAATATACTATGCGCTTTTAGTAAAAACATATGCTGTTACTCAATTAATGTTTCTTGTAACACTGTGATAGTAGATCGAAGATAAATATTCAATTTTCGTATTCTGTCCTCATGAGCCCACTTTTCTTCTACTTTCTTAG